GTATTGTGTCCGTGCTTGCGGGCAAAACAATACAGAGGGCTTGATCGGTTCCTTTCAAAATTTATCAATGCCAATAATTTAGCAAGTTATGATTTTTGTTAGTATTTAGTTTGCTACTAAAACTTGCCAAATTTTTATATTTAGCTTGCCAAATCTATGACAATATTTTTGTCCAACTTTTAGCTTGCCAAATCTTTGACATGACAAATTTTGGATGCCAACCTACCAGGCCTAGAATCCCATCAATATGAATAGTTTTTTTCTTCAAATGTAAAGTTGTCTTAGTTTATACACCGATTTATTATAAAAAATATATATACACCGATTCATCTTCTTCCAAATTGTCCGGTATATCAAGTTAGCGAGCACCGGAGCTCCAGTGGTAGCGGTAGGCGCTGCTCGTACCATGGTGCCTGCAGCTTTTTGGCTTTGGCTTTCTGAAAGCTAACCTGTGCAAAAGCTGAGGCTGGCATATGAAATGAGGTTGTGTTTAGTTAGGTGAAATTTATGAATTTAGCTATTGTCGTACTTTTATTTTTATTTGGCAATTAATGTTCAATCATGGACTAATTAGGCTCAAAACGTTCGTCTCGCGATTTCCAATCAAACTGTGCAATTATTTTTTTTCGTCTACATTTAATGATCCATGTACGTATCGCAAGATTTGATATGATGGCTACTGTAACACTTTTTGGGAATTTGGTTTTGGAATTAAACGTGGCCTGAACGAGGTTTCAAATGTCTAAAGTAACCCTATCTGTCTGCACTGCACTTTGAGTCATGGTATTTGAATAACTTTATTTAGAAAAAAAAACACTAAATTGCGTGGATCAATTAGAAGTCATGGCAGGGCCCAGGGTGGCAACGGGATCTCTGGCGCCTGTTCTGACGAGCTGGGGGCAGCGGCGGCCCGGAACCAGCACGGGGCGACGGCCGGAACCAGGACTCGCCCGTCCCGGAACCCTGCCCGCGTCGCCGACGACTAGGGTTTGTGCGGGTGCTATGGGAGAAAGCGCGAGGTAGCGGACGGGAGGGGAAAGATAAGAAAATGATTCGCAACATAACCGGTGGCAAGGCGGGTGTTTTTCCACCAAAGCTGAAAGAAGCCTCTTCTGGTGAGCTTTGGGGCTTTCTGTACAAACTTGGCTTTGGTGTGCTTCCTAGCTAGTCAAAGCTGGAACCAAAAGCCAGCTGTTTGTTTGGGCTTCCAGCTTCTGATGCCTTTCCTAACATCATGCTTTTAATTGTAGCCCCATATCATGTAGGATTGAATAAAAAAAGTAGATGTTCTATATTTGTTATAGTAACTTATAGAGGCTATATATGCTTGGGAAGAGAGAAGGTGGTACATGCTAAAAAAGAAGAGAGAGAGAGAAAATAAAAGTGAGGCACGATGAAAGAAAAAAGTTTCTTTGCAAACCACAAGTAGTGATAATTTACATTGTGTGAATAGTAGTCTCAATATTTCCTAGTATATGTGGATCATTTTATTTGTACTACAACCACTAAAAGTGTTAGCCTTTATTGGTGGTGTCATGACGACCAAAAGCTGCTACAAAGCTCAAACAACCAGACTCCTAATCCTGACCAACAGCGACGGAGCTAGCGGTGGGGCTCTAGCCCCCCTACCGATCCTGGGCACGTGGAGCCCCTCTAAACCCTCCTTTAAAATTTTATGCATATATATATTAGATAGAGAGGCTAAGGTTAAAGAGAAAAAAAAAACCTTTATTCTTTTGTTTAGCCTCTCCAAAAAAAATTTTTCTTCTTCGTCCTGTTGACCAACAAACAGGCTCTTAGTCCTGGCCAGTTACAAGGTTGGAGACATGCTTGTTTTGCCCACATTGTTGATCCCTCCCAGACCTTCCGAGCAATTGAGCTTGGGCATTCAAAAAAAACAAGTGTTTTGTTATTTCTAGATTCCTGCAACATAATTGGCAAATTAAAAGTATGAGTTTGGCCAGCCTCGTGCCCTCGTTGTTGTAGCCGAACAGCATTCCACAACTTGTCTTGGAGCAACACCCACAAAGAAAAACTTACAACGTGGGATGACTTTGGCGTTTCAAACATGTGTGTCTATATTCGAACGCACTAATAAACCTTCAAACAGTTGGATTACTTGGGCTTGACCTATAACTAGTATAGCAATTAATCAAACAATTCTAAAGAACCACAATAGTGATAAGAGGACTGAGATTAGTACAACCAGCCTGTTCGCTTATTGGTTTCAGTCAGCCCAAACCAGCTAGCCAACAGTGTTTTTCTCTCACAAAAAACCAGCACCAGCACCAACCAGCGAACAGGCAACATGTAAAATGTTCTAGAAAGATGCTCAACTTAAATAGAAAGTTGGTGTGCTCATGTAGACAACTTATCTTGATAGGTCTTTTTCAGCTGCTAGCTTTGTGCTGCTCTTGGTGTTGAGGAGAACGCGAGGACAAAGGGAACTCGTGCCAAGAAAGTGTTTGATGATGAAGGCTCTAGCGCCAACCTGGTATACTCTTGGCAAGAAAGTGATTGATGATGGAGGTTCTAGCGCCAACCCGGTACAGAAGAAGTACTATCGCTATGGTGGAGGAGAAGAAGTGATCCTGTGCTTGTATGTCGATGATATACTAGTCTTTGGGACCAACTTAAATGTGATTGAAGAGGTCAGGGACTTTTTGTCCAAAAGTTTGGACATGAAAGATTTGAGAGTGGTTCATGTCATTCTAAACATTAAGCTTAGGGACGGCCACCGGTTTAGGGCGGCGGACAGGGCATCGATCTTAACAATCTAGCAAAGACAAGGCCACACTTACCTCCAGTCAGCATGTACGTGAGAACCTATAGCCATTGAAGCACTTTGTTGCTCCTTGTGCTTTGCCAGAATGAAAATTAATTACTCCCTCCAGGTTGGTAAAAGAAGTTGTTTTGGACAGCGAGACGGTCTCTAAAGCATAACTTTGACTTCTTATTTTTATAAAAATATTTATTGGAAAGTGATATATGTATATTTTTATGAAAGCACATTTCAAGACAAATCTATTCATATGGTTTTCACATTTCTAAACTCAACAACTTAAAAGTTATTCATGATTTATATTTCCAATGTTTGATCCAAACCTCGTCCAAAACGACTTCTTTTACCAACCTGGAGGAAGTAGTTGTCATTCTCAAGAGTAGACTTCCGCATAATTGCCATTCTAGTCGTGGGCCTTGGAAAATTATCATGCAATAAGTAAGCACCTTGATTTATACACTATTTCTCTTTTTTTCCTTCTTTTTTTTATTTATTTTCTCCAAACATCTAGCACTCAAAAAGACGAGATTGCTGGCGGTATCTCTTCTCTTGATAGGTCTTTTTTAGCTGCTAGCTTTGCGCTACTCTTGGTGCTGAGAAGGCAAGGGCAAAGGACACTCGTAGCAAGAAAGTGTTTGATGATGGAGGTTCTAGCAGCAACCTGGTACAAAAGAAGTACTATCGCTATGGTAGAGAAGGAACGATCTTGTTCATGTATGTCGATAACATACTGATCTTTGGGACCAAGTTGAATGTGATTGAAGAGATTAGAGACTTTCTATCCAAAAGTTTTAACATGAAAGATTTGGGAGCGGTTGGTGTGATTCTAAGCATTAAGCTTAGAGACGGTTGCCGACTTAGGGAAGCGAACAGGGTTGGTGTGATTCTAAGCATTAAGCTTAGAGACGGTTGCCGACTTAGGGAAGCGAACAGGGCATCGATCTTAACAATCCAGCAAAGGCAAGGCCGCCCTACCACCAACCGGCATGTACGTGAGAACCTACAGCCGCTCGACCTAGCAGTTGAAACACTTTGTCGCTCCTTGTGCTTTGCCGAAAGGAAAATTAATTACTTGCCATTCTCAAGAGTGGACTTCCGCAAAATTGCCATTATAGTCCGGGCTTTGAAAAATTATCATGCAATTTAATAAGTTTTTCCTAGTAAATCGAGTCATTAGGGATAGTGTCTCTCCATGCCAAATTTCTTGGTATTGGAGTTTTATCTCCTTCTCCTCTCCGACGACGGTGAAGGAAAATGGTGGAATTGTCTTCTCCATGACGGCTCCGTTGAAGATGAGGGCGACAACTTCGGCGTCAGCATCTTCATCGACATGACGACATGGAGACTTTTGTTTCCGAACGACGGCATCAAGACGGAGATGATGTCGTCACCGTGGAATAATTTTCTCCGGTCTCTTCTCCGTTTTGTTGTGGTTTGATCTGGCCATGATGAAGAACTAGGGAGAATAATTTTCAGATCAGTCTTCCTCACTCTTCGGTGGTAGAAAGAAGAAGAAGAAAGACACCAGAAAAGAAGTTCCTCAATTCCGCCTACAGGAATATTGGCCGTCGTTCGTTGGGCATTTGTTCTCAGGCCATTTGCCGAGTGTTTACCTATGCGGTCATCCATATTGCAAAGCATCTAACAGGTTAGGTTTTGAGTTGTGCTATTCATGGCGTGTGTACTATTTTGTAATCAGAGTACTTGTAACGTGTCGATGTATCCAGCTATCATCATATAATATAATTCTTCTATCGTCAAAAAAATAATAAGTAAGCACCTTGTACACCATTTCTCTTTTTTTCCGCATTTTTTCTTATTTTTCTCCAAACACCTAGTCTAGCACTCAAAAAGACGAGATTGCCCCTGGGGCAAATTAACGCTGGCAACTTTTTAATCCGGCAAAACCGATTCGTCTCCCCGCGCCCAGCAGCCCGCCGCCACGCGATCGCCGTCCGCCGTCCGCTCGGTCGACTGCGATTGCGCCGGCGACCCCATGGACGAACGCCGGAGGACGCGGCCCCGCTCGCCCGAAGCACCTGCTCCGCCCGACTCGGCGCCGCCGCCCGACGCGCCGGCTCGACCCGATGCGGCCCTGCCCAGGCGGCCAGCGACCAGCAGGGACGAGCAAAATTGCCCAGGGGTGGCCTGCGATGAGCCCCAGAAGGAGGAGCGGAAGGATTAGAAGGGAAAGAGGAAGCGAGAGGAGGACAGCGAGATGGAGGGAACGGGGAAGGAGAAGAATGGGGAAGAAAAGCTGAAGAAGGGCAAGGGTGGCGGGATTCTGACAAACAGGCTTTTCTCAGAGCTCTGCATCTCGGAGCTCACTGCCAAGGTCATCAGAGAGATGAACTACACCCACCTCACCAAGGTGATGCTCCCACCCGACTAAATTTTACCATTGCACCATCTTTTTGGCAAGATATACATGTTTCTGTTCTCGGTGCAAGTCCAAGTACTCTACAATTGCATGTAGTCGAATGCTTCTGTCATTCTGTGGATGATTGTGTTATGTGAGTCGATACCGCAATGGCAATGCATGCACCGTTGGGTTTTAGTATTGATGTAATGTAACAATGGCATGCATGCACGGTTGTTTAATTTTCATGATTGCAGATTCAAGCTAGATCAATACCGCATCTGATGGAAGGAAGTGATGTGATGGGTTCAGCAAAGACTGGTTCAGGGAAGACCCTTGCTTTCCTTATACCAGCGATTGAATTGCTCCACAGATCGCACTTCTTGCCGAGGAACGGAACTGGAGTTGTTGTGGTTTGCCCAACAAGGGAGCTTGCCATTCAGGTTTATGCATGACACAACAGTTATCTTTTGATTGATTTTACATTATTTATGACTGTTCTAGAATTTGCTGCGAGCGAAACGATCAAAATGAGATGTGTCAACTGATCTAAGGTTAAGTTATTCTTTGTTAACATAATGCCGTGTGTGTAAATATAATACGCAAATACACAATGCTGTTTGTTTTTACAGTATTTTGATTTGAAGATTAAGTTATGAGAACTTCTTTTCACGTTGCTATATATTACCAAATTTTATCACCAAATTGTTAGGCTTCAAAAGGTAGCTTTTTTTTTTGAAACGAGGCTTCAAAAGGTAGCTTTCTATAGTGTATCTGAATGTTGGATGGTTGCTGAGACTATTCACCTGTAGGGGCAGGGGCTCATACTTGACACTTTGCTATCCTTATGTGTTTCGTCAATTCATTTGTGCTAGACACACAATGTTGCCAAGGAATTAATGAAGTATCACTCGCAAACTCTTGGATATGTAATTGGTGGCACTAACATGAGAAGTGAGGCCAACCAGCCCGCAGAAGGGATCAATGTCTTAGTTGCCACACTGGGCAGGCTTCTGGACCATCTGCGAAGTACCAGTAGTTTCAAATACAAAGAGCTAAAGGTAAAGACATTCTGGTTACTATCATTTTTTTCCAAATTCCTTATTTCTGTTGAGATAGTGCATATACTTAAATTGTCACATTTAGATAAAAAATACAACCAGAAATTTCATGCTTATCTATTTGCATGATCAGTTACCTGATTGTTTTATATATGAAATCTTTGTGTACATCTACCTTATGCTTGTCCATGACTCCGTCTACCTATTAATGCTGAATTAGAGTATATATCAAATTGCAGCATACATTATGCCAGGTATATGCAAAATTGTAAAAGACAATAGCTTATATTTGGATAAAGTCGTATTGTTATATTAGCTCGGTTATGTGTTTCGTCTTTGTTTGCTATTAGTTGCAGCAAATTTGTGCTTGACAAAAGTCAAGTGGAATTGCATATAATGTTATTTGTTATTTCTGTAAACAAAACCGATACAGTATGGGTACAAGTATTGGATTTGTAGCTAAAAGTTATTCTTCGTAACCATCCTTAAAACCAAACTGATTCTGTTCTCCAATTAAATTAACATATAATTGCATTGTAAATATCTTTTCGAGCGGGGATGGAATCAATCTTGTTGCCCACTCAAACCTCGGCCCAGAGAATACTAAAGCCAATTAATTTTGTGCTGGGCTGCCCATGGAGAAGGCGAAGCCTTGTTTACTGGCTCATGTAATATGGGTCCCTATCTGGCAGGAAAATGGCATTGAATTTCTTGGAAAAGAAAAACATGAGAATTTGCTGTTAAGGCAGTGAATATCATGACTGACCACTACCACCCTCTATTTTTCTCTGGGGGCCTTATAATTGATGAAGCCGATCGGATACTTGAGCAAAATTTCGAGGAGGATATGAAACAAATATTTAAACGCCTCCCTCGGGTATGTGACCATCTGCCAATTTCGTTTCATGTGCATAGTGCAGCCATTAAAATTTCTACTGAGTCTGAAACTACTATGTTTTGTCCTGGAATTATTATGGATATGCAGGATAGACAAACTGTTCTTTTTTCTGCTACACAGACTCAAAAGGTCGGTTATTCATCCTATCCAAACTTTTCCTTAATTTCCCCTGTTGGTGTAAATGCTTATGTGTTATAAATTGTAATCCCACAGGTTCAAGATTTTGCGAATTTTACATTTGGGAAAAATGAAGAAAGACAACGTAAACTTGTTTATGTTGGAGTTGATGATTCTGAATTAAAGGTATGCAACTGTTTCACCATGCTGTTCATATCTCTTTAAAACATTTTTCTGGATTATTTGGTATGAGAAATATAACTTTGATGCTCTGGCAGCCTACAGTTGAGGGCTTGCAGCAGGGCTACTGTGTCATTCCAAGCGAGAAAAGGTTTCTTGTTTTGTACACTTTCCTAAGATTGAAAGTTCACAAGGAGCAGATGGTGAAGGTCCTAAGAGGGGAAGTGGGTGAGGAGCAGAAGGTGAAGATCATGGTGTTCTTTTCATCATGTAGCTCAGTCAAATTCCATGCAGAACTTCTTAATTTCCTCGGGATAGAGTGTTACGAGATCCATGGGCAACTGAAGCAGCAGAAACGAACTAGTACGTTCTTCCGATTCCTGAAGGAAGAAAAGGGCATCTTATTATGCACTAACGTGGCAGCACGTGGGCTTGATATTCCTGATGTGGTAAGTTTAAACCATTCATACCACTCCTTTCTACGTATATGGTATATCCCCTTACTAATGTAAGGATCTGGTGCCTTGCTTAGGACTATATTCTGCAATATGATCCTCCAGATGACCCAAAGGTTAGTGCTTCCAAACCATGCTAAAGAAATTATGCATTTGTCAATTTTGCTAAGTTTGACATTTGAATTTAATTTTTAGGATTACATTCACAGAGTTGGTCGTACTGCCCGAGGTGATAAAGGCAAAGGAAGTGCATTACTGTTCTTACTACCGGAAGAATTAAAGCTGCTCATTCACCTGCAGGTAATTAATGTTACGGTGACATATGTCTGTCTCCCTTTATTAAGAGGAAACCTGATGTATATCAGTTTATGCAGCACTATTTTCTTAACTCAAAGTGATCACTGTTTTCTGACATTATGTCTAAATACAAAGTCAGTAGTGTGAAAGTACTTTGAAATATGAATTTTGTATAATCTTATATGCTACGCATTTTTTACAATTTTACTAGTCCAGTACGAGTAACATGGAAGCTCTAGTGTCCTACATAGTTGGACAGAGGGAGTGACGCATTTGGTGTTTGCTTGCAGGCAGCCAAAATTTCTCTGACTGAATATGTGTTCAGTGAAAAGCATGTCCCAAAATCGCTATCACAACTTGTGAGTGTTTCTTTCTCAACTCAATCCCGTCGTTTCAATCTATTTTATTATAACGTGAGTTTTTGGAGCAAGAGAATATTGTTACTGGGAATTACTTTCTAAACAAGTCTGCGAAGGAAGCCTACAGGTCCTACCTTTTGGCATACAACTCACACTCTATGAAAAATATTTTTGATATCCATCAGCTTGATCTCAAGGTAAATGTTTGTGACGTTCTTTCTCAATGTTCTGTTATTGGTTTCTGTTCATTTTTATTGGCTCAGCATTTTGCTTCATTGCAAGTTTACATAATCTTAAGTTGTCAAGTAGAAGCACATTTGTTATTTCCTTAAATTTAGTGGTAGCCTAGCTTATCCCTTGAAAGTTTCAAGGTAGCTGAAGACCAATGAAAAATACCAATTGCTGATATTTCACGAACTCTGTTTGAATATGTCTAATTCATTGTTGTATTTCAGAAAGTAGCAGCATCATTCTGTTTTAAGGAGCCTCCTAAAGTGAATCTGAACCTGGAGAGCAGTGCATCAAAACATCGAAAGATGAGGAAAGGGTACAGTGGACAGAGGCATGGAATTGGCCCTTCAAACCCCTATTGGTATTCTAAAAGGACATGGATATGATCACAGCAAATTTGCAAGAAGCCCCCATTTTTTTTTATAGATCTCTAAACATTACTTATAGTTATAGGCAGTGTTTGGTTCTCTCTGTAATGGTAGCAGAAAGTCACGGTAATGCAATCCGATGGGGCGAATACCGGATTTGTTCGGTTCCTCTTCCGATTCCTGTAACGACTAACGAAGTTTGCATCTTCCGATTCCTGTAAGGCTGTAACGAAGTTTGCGTCAGAAAAAAGACCCGTACTGGACCAGCAAAAAAAAACGTAGGACACCAACAATTGTAAGGTATTTTTCCTAGACGAAAGACGGCTCGTCATATGTTCTCTGAACTTTGGTGGCGCCCAATAATTCATCCTACGCCTAAATGTCATGGCTCGTCATTTTCTTTGAGCAATCATGGCTCGTCATATGTTCTCTGAACTTTGGTTGCGCTCAGTAATTCATCTACGCCTACAAACTCATGTAAGCATATGCGGAATGGCCTGCCAAGTGCCAACCAGTCCAGTGCGAGCGTAAAACAAGTAGACCCTGCCAATTTACATTCCTTGCTCTTGCTTGTTCTCTTGTGAATCTTAGACGCATTCTAGAAACTGTACTAACTGTTCTAACCAGATGGCTCTGGAAAACTTTGAATGGGACAATTTTTGCCCCATCTCTATACTTTGTATTTAAGCTTTGAATGTAATTTACCTTTTCAAAAAAAAAAAAGTAGACCCTGCCAACGAGAAAAACTTTGTACACAGAAAACGACAATTGATTCTTGTACCTTTTCTATAAAAAAAAGACAAGCAATATATCCAGGCTAAACAAAATTAACGACTCTAAATGCTTAGTACATAGAAGATCAAAACTTTTCTATTCAAGTTTCCTGGTACACAATAATAAAGACAGATCAAAACTTTTCTATTCAGGTTTCCTGGTACATATTCCTTGTGATCATCTTTAGCATACATAGGAGATATCAAAAGACAACCACTCATTACGGGGACTTGGCACGCAGATGAGCTGATCATGGCAACATTTCTACTAGAGATGCCACACCAATGCGATGAAGATTTATGTGGCGCTGGCGAACTCTGAGCATCAGTGCCGCTTCTTGGAAGCACTAGAATCCGTGTTCTTTTTTCTCTTCTTAAGTAGCTCAATTTTCTCTTTTTTCTTTTCTTTGCCCATCTGTGTTCACAAAGAAACAGGATAGCCGTAAAAACCATCCAAAAGAGATGTTAATAATAATTTGAGATAATAGAGAAAGGCAATCAGAAGCAAGACAAATCAAAGACTACGAATCTATGATAGAACTGTCAACTAATTATTGCAAAAATGCATGTGAAGGTAGATATTATCAAAGAGGGAACTATCAAGTCAACAAGAAAAGCTTTTACTAGTATCAATCTAAGTCATGCACTATACTAGAACCTTTTTTAACAGGAACGGAAGTTATTTCTATAGAGAGCATTATCAGGACTTGTAACCATATTCACATTAAAAACCAGTAGTGCATACAGGCATTCAGCAAAAGATAGAGTACACATACCTTCATAGCTTTATAAAGGCCTCTCTGCCTGCGAGACATGAGAGCAGTACCAATGTCATCATCATCCTTCTCCTCTTGTTTACTGGCATCCTCCTCGCGATCTGACTGAGTATCATCTTTGGCATCTGGTGATTTATCTCCTTCCTTATTTGACAGACTAGAGAAAGCAACGCCATCAATTTCCATCTTCAGTTCATCATGGTATTGCTTCTCTAGCATCTCCAACTAGGGAAAAAGAAAAGACATGCCAAGATCACTACACGAAATGCATTCAATACAAGAAAAAACAGAAGCATTGAAAACCACTTAAACTGAAAGAAACACTACCCACCTTCCTCTTCTTTTCAGCAGCTTCGTTAGATTCTGTTCGATCCATCATTGCTGCTACCAATGAATTGTCTAGATCTTCATCACCAATACCTGGAAGAGGCAAGACCTCATTGCGTGCAGCAGCTTGCAGCCTCTTTATTGTCTCTGCATACTCAGGAATGTAGCCCTCTGCATCATTGTCCACAAAAGGAGACAAATGTGGTGGAGGTACTCTGCAACATGGAAAAAAATTGTCATATACTAGCCTACGAATTATTACTTTTCTTTATTATTGCACAATATAATTCATGGTCTTCTCGTCAGTGGCGAAAAATTAACACAATATTGTAGCAGCAACATGTGGTATTGTTGTAGCAGTACCAAGAAATTAGTAGCAGCGCTAGCAACTAGTAAGTAATAGGCTAGGCGTACAGCTAAAAAGTTCTATCAGTAGCAAATGGAGAGCAACTGGCAATCTAGGCATCTGGCACCAAAAGAGTGCAGGACTTGGCAAATTTGTAATCAGGTCTCATGCATCATATTAAATATTCATTGTCACTAAACAGATTCTACAGCATAAGCAGTTACAATTTAGCATATCTGACAGAATCCACATATGGTGCAATGGTAAAGTCGCAGTTATCACAATCCCCATGTGACATACCTTCCAACAAGATAACCTTCTGTCGGCAATATGATACGAGCGTTTACACAATCAAAGACCCACTGTGGTTGAACATACTCCCTGGAGAGGAAAACATGGCTTTGTGTCGGCCTATCAACAATCTGCATTATAACAGAAGTTGTAGGTTAAGTAAATTGAGATGCAACTCAAAGAAACCTAACAAACAAACAAACATAAAACAACCTTCTATCATAAATTAATAAAAGAATAGTGTGGAAAAAAAAAAGAAACTCAAAGTAGACGTACGAAACGGTTGTAACAGACAACAGATATTGGCCTGGTGCAAGCGGTAGAGTCTTATCGCCTGTGACCAGAAGGTGCCGGGTTCGAGTCGCGGTCTCCTCGCATTGCACAGGCGAGGGTAAGGCTTGCCACTGACACCCTTCCCCAGACCCCGCACAGAGCGGGAGCTCTCTGCACTGGGTACGCCCTTTTTAAACACGTGATAGTGTATTGGCTTAGAAGGGGTAACACCATCACTGATGATCCCCGCCCCACATGTCAGTCAGTCAGTCTTAGCGCAGGCAATGAGTGCAGTATTGTCACTGTGAATCATGTATCTGTTCAAAGGCGTATCATGGACTCTTCAAAATAAAAGGCTATATAGTGTGATGATGTGATATCATACTCCTATTTTTTATTACAATATGGGATACTAGCAAGCATAAAAAAAACTTCCATGGACCATTTGATTTTACTTCACTTGTGCACTTTTCATTGATCACCTTTTATGTTTATGAATTACGAGATATGATGGTACTGAGTGTAACCTGAACAGTTAGTCACATACAAAAATTGTATTGTAGTAATTATTACCCCTAGTATGACATTTCTGTCGTGGTACTTAGAGTGGCATCTTACTTTAGAGATGGTACATCAACGTCCCCGTCTATATAGTTAAACTTTGGTGTAATATATTATTGAGGATGCAATCAACCTGGTGAGTGATATCTTCATCTTCTTCTTTAAACGGAGCTCCTTCTCCTTCCCATGAAACAGTTCCTCCAAACGCTGGGATAATAAATAATAGGGACTCCCTAGGCACCTGAAAGTGCATATAAAGGATTAAAAACATTTGAAAGATATTCAAATCAGAAAAATCAATTGATCTGCAACCCCAAATTTGGCTTGCAGTAATGACAAATTCCAAAAACCTACCTCCCGACTCAAGTAGAACTTTAAGTTCTTAAATAAACCTTTACATTCTTTAGCATCGTCATCATCTGCATCATCAGCAGTCGATTCTTCTACAAGATTCATCAGTGCACCAGGTTCATTAGTTGGGAGCTGATGTTGAAGCAGTGCTAATCTGAGCTCAGATTCATCTGCTTTTGAGCTTGCTTTATTCTTCACATCCTTCTCTTCCTCAATTACTCCATCAGCTTTAGTCTTCTCGTCCTTATCCTCCATAACTTCGTCAGATTGTGAATTCCCAATCATTCTTCTGGAACCAGCAGACATGTATCTGCACAATGCATATAGCTCTGGCACCACGCAACATGATATCAGAAAAGGAGTCCGCATAAAACTAGAGAACAGAGAAAAATAATATAGCAGTGTATACATCCAAGAAAATGGACAGAGGTGATTAATAATAATAAGCACCAGAACATACCAGCAGCTAAAGCTTCCAGACGTGGATCCAGAATAGGAGGATAATTTACATTTATTGAATGATAGAGCTTGAAGTTCACAAATCCTAGAAGAGTCTGCAGGCACAACAGGCTCAGTCAAAAGGTTGAAACAAACACCAGAAATAGCACTGTTGAACTTTCTAAGGGAGCATTCATGAAAACGTCAACATGTATGGTGTCAATAGCCAACTATTGAAACTATGCTCATGGAAAAGGGAGTTGTAGATAACAACAAAAAACCATGTAATACCGGTATATAGCTTCTAAAACACCACATTAGTTATTGGACGTCATAATATGATATCTTGATTGACAATGAATTGCTCAGCGATCCTACAATGGAAATGCAAGCACTACAATATCATCACTGTGTCTTGATCAAGAACCTACAGGATTCTCAGCCCTTTGCAAATTAGCATTCCATGATTACGGGTTAGAAGGACTAAAGGTGGCTTATGCACCAAGGAAAACCACAGCACCGTTTTGTCTATAACAAGCCCATCTTTGATGAAAAACAAGACAAATAACCAATAATCGGAAATCAGATAAAATATACAAACATATAATTAGCCTTGGCCTGAAATTTACTGACAGTTGCACAAAACATGAAACACAAAAGAACTAAGGAGCGGTCCATATTTGTTTACCTCGTAGAATTCTAGAAAAGAGAGCATCACATTGAAATCAACATCATCGGTTAATACTTGCTGAAGAGCATGAGGAGTTAGCCAGGTGATCTTTTGTCCTTGAACTTCAGCCTGCATTATGTGGCATAATCATGAATTTTGACCATCACATATGCAAAGACAGATAAAAGAATCATGGGATACATAATTACCTG